GACATCTCCAGGAGCACTGTGGGTGAGAAGTGGCCCCCAGAACTGTCTCACTGATTCTAAACTCACCCAGGACAGTAGTTGGGTCCTGGGATCCTGGCTGTACCTGAAGTAGTCCTGGCTGGGATTAAACTAACCCTCCACAAGTTACCTAGGGTGGGGGTTTACATAATCAGATAAAATTCTGGAATATCAAGGTAGGTTTTCTGATCTGCTTTTGGGTACAGAAAAAGAATCAAAAAAATACTTTAAAAAATTAACATTCAATTAATTAAAGCTACCAATTTCAAACTCAATTTTCCCTTAAACTGAGTTCAACTCACAAATCTTATTCTATTACTAAGTCTAGCAAATGTTAACAATTAACAATTGTTTTTAAAAGTCTAGCAAATGTTAACAATTAACAATTATTTTTAAAAGGGCTATGTAGCTTAATTTCCTTTAACATCTTAAACTTCATTTATACATTCAATGTTTTGATTTTCTTTTTAAGTAGTTCAGTGGTCTCATTAATAAACAAAATCTTTAAAGTACTTAAGTAACTCTTGTAAATCTAATCAATTCAACATACAAACATGGTGACAGTTAGATCCTCTTAACTGTTCCAATGTTACAAATTTACTAAAACTTTGCTCTCATATCCCTTAACTTAAAAGTACAAATCTAAATCAATTCTAAACTACATTTTAAATTGGAATCACAAGGTTGACCTCTTGTCTTAATAGGTCAAATTCTCTAAAACACAACAAATTCTTAAAATACCAAACATGACCAAATTGTTTCTCAGCTACCACAAAATATGTTAATATAATGTATTTTTACTGTATTATTTCTATTCTAAATTTTTCTGGGATTAAGTGTCCATTAAGGAGGTAATTATATCATTTCCAACAGTTTGGTGTTGCTTTTCTAGCTGACTGAGGTTGCACACAGACAGCAATTCTGGCCAGGGGGTGTCCCAACAAGGAGGGACACACAGCAGCCTCTTTTGTGGTTTCTGTAACAGATTCAGAACTGACCAAGTTCTGGAAACTTCCTCCTTGGTCCTGTTATTTCTTCAGCCGTTCTCATTGCTCCTTTCCATTGCCCTTTCAAAGGAAAGATGTCAGAACTGAATTTGTCCCCTAAGACTGTTTTATTCTTTTGTTTGTCAAGGACAGAAACCCAACTCACACTATTAAGAAAAGAGATTTAATGAACTGGGGCGATGTCCACAACTGCAAGAATGCAGCTGGGCGACAGGATAAGTGGAGCTAAGGGTTCAGATGCAACAAGTCCTGTTCTTTCTCTTCTTTGGCCTTCTCTCTGCAGGTCAGCACCCTTCCTCTCACTCAAGGCGGGGTGGCTTTCTCTCCCTGGTGGGAAACACAGCTGCTGACCACTCCCCAAACTTTACATGGAAAAGCCAACTTTTCTTTCCCAATTCCAATCCCCAATGCCTCGTGACATCTGGTGCACAGATAGTCTTGACACACTGACTACAGCTAGGGAGGCGGGACTGGGTTATTCTGACACGGCACTTCTGTGTGAATAGGGTAGGAGGCTCTCAGTAAAAGAGTACTGAAAACTAGCCGGGCGTGGTGGCGGGCGCCTGTAGTTCCAGCTACTTGGGAGGCTGAGGCAGGAGAATGGCGTAAAACCGGGAGGCGGAGCTTGCAGTGAGCCAAGATCGCACCACTGCACTCCAGCCTGGGAGACACAGCGAGACTCCGTCTCAAAAAAAAAAAAAAAAAAAAAAAAAAGGACTGAAAAGGAACACTTCGGTTGGCCACAATCTGGAGCTGACCGGTGCTGAATATTAGAGGGGCAGCTGAACCCTTACACTCAGATTATCGCTTAGGTGGTTCAGTAGTAGCTGTTTCTCTTAAAACAGCTAGATTACATTTCTCATTTACATTGTTCGAAATGAATCAGAAAAGGAGAACGCTTTTAGAAAAAAATCTTATTTACATGAAAACTATGTGACAAGAAATCTATAAAACCGAATTCCTTGGAAATTTATAGGAAATGAGCAGACAGCCATAGCCTAAAGATTTAGGTCTGACTTCAACCCAGCAGTTCTAGGCATTTTCTTTGCTTCTCAATTTCAGGAAGTTATTCTTCTCTTTTGAGGTCCAGAAAAATCTATTTGCAATTTCCTACAAGTATTTCAGATAAGCAATTAGATACTAGGATCAAACTAAAATGACATACATTTAAAAAATTTCAAAATCCTATATATTTTGTAAAATATATATTATGTAAACACAAGGGAATATATTTGAAAACAAATGTGGTCATTTCTTCCACAGGAGGTTTATCTGCATGCTTCCAGAAGTTTTTGGTTTGGATTACTAGTGGATCTTAGCATGTGTGAGGACAATAATGGCTTGATTCAAGTAACTAAAAATCCTTATGCTTTGGAGGTTTAGTGAACAGTGATTTGAGAAACAGAATCAGCCTCCTATTACAAGTTTTAAAAAGCAGGTTGAACCCATTTCCCCCATCAACTTTCCTAATACAGTACATAATTTTTATTATAGCTACTGTTTATTATCTGCCTGCCTCTGCTAGAATATAATTTCACTAGGGCAGGGACTTCTGTCTGTGTTGTTTACTGATGTATTCTGAGCTCACAGAGCCTGGTACAGAGCAGGCACTCTATAAACTGGCTGAATGGACAACTGGTTAAATTTAGGCATGACATAAATTCCTCCTGACCTAAAGATTACAGGTCTGTGTTGATGCCAACAACTGCCATAAGGATTAACTACAGTAGCAAATGCTGTGGCAGGACTTTTCTTTTTCCCGAGTGTCACTATGAGGGCAGCGGTGCATGGTGGAAGCCTATGGGCTCTGTGTGAGCAGAGGCCAAGGAATGTGGCTATGCAGGAAGCAGGCCCCCCCTTCTCAAGTAGGTGGCCTTGTCTTTCAGGGTGATAGTACTCAAGCTTTCCTGCCCTTGTCACTTCCATTCTGACTTACAGACATTTTTACAATTGCTATAAACTTGCATTGTTACTGGCAAGTCATCAGTCTCCATGGCTCATAATGGGCCCCATCACCTTCTAAAATCTAGTTGTCAAGTTCTGCCATAAACAAACACCTGCAGATGCATCCTCAGAGCATTACTGAGTCCCTGCTAACTGAACCGGCTTTGGGGTTGGACGGGTAGATTCCTGGTCACTAATGCACATTAAAAGTACAATTTTATTTTACAAAGGTGGTTTCAAAGAAAAAAACAAAAAGGAAAAGAGTACAACTTAGATACCTCCTCTAGGAGGACAGAGACGCTGTGTCTGTCTTATGTTTTACCTAGCAGATGACAGCTTTTATATATTCTAAATAAAAATCTGGCAATGTTTATTCAGTGGCCTCCACTGGTGAAAGGCCCCCAAAACTATCCCCTAAAAATGGCTGCAAATATGTGCACTTTTCTCCAGTGTTTATTATAAAACTTTCAAACATCCAAAAGTGTTAAAGAACAACACCCCTATACCCACCACTTAGATGAAGTTGTCTTATTTTAAAAATCTACATATGTACATATATTATCTATATATGGATACATATATGTATGAGTATATATGTAATATAATCTGTATAGTTTTTTGGTGAGCCACTTGAAAGTAATTTGTGGCATCTTCTAGAATAATTTATATAAATCCCACAAATGTGACTGAGACGGGCACATATTCCCATCGACCAATCAAGCATCTTGAATTCCTATCTCAGTCAGGAAGGTGATATATTTTGTGGTCTGAAAAGAGGCCCTTGCTGTTGGGAAGGCCCTGGGCAGCTGTCAAATTCAGCTAATGGTGGAGCCACCTCTGTGCATTTCAATCCTTAGTGTTTTATGGGCTCTGATGATGATGGTGGTGGTGGCGGTGATAATGGTAATAACAGCAGCTAATTCTTAATAGTCCTTACCGTGTGCCAGGATTTACCATGCTAAATTCTTTCCCTATATTTTGTTCATTTCATCCCATAACCATGTGGCCTTGACTGTGTTGACTTAGGCACACAAGAACCACCCAGAAGTCCCTTCCCTGCCACATTGTATAGGGTTGGGTGTGAGGTGGAAATACAGAAATGGCCATTTCTTCATGCTCTGAAGGTTAGAGTAGGGCTGTCCCCAGTCAGCTGGCTCAGTGCTCCCAGGCCTGCAGCTCCCCAGCTCTCACTAGATCTCCATTTTCAGCTTCACCTGGCCCTGGGCAGGTGTGTTTTAGGACCATGGCAAAGGGTACCAGCTCCTCCTCAGGTCACCATGTCACAGAATTTGAGGTGGTGAGAGACAGATGTGGGTTCCAGCACATCCCGGATCTCCCCGACTTCCCCCCAGCCTTCTTTCCCATCTGGTGGCCAAGCTGACCTGGGAAGATCTGAGCCCCAACACCAGGAGTCTCCTTCTCCACCAGCTCCCCTGACTGTGTGCCATCCTTAGGCTAGATCACTCCTAAGCCTCTGAGTGCGCCCTGACAGGTACAGTCCTCCTATGAGGTGCTTACTCATAATACCCCCTTTTTACAGATAAAGAAATAGAGGCACAGAGAAGGAAAGTAACTTGCCCAGGGTTGTAGAGCTAGCATTTGGAAGAAATAGGATATAAACGCAAACCCTGGCTCAGAGACCAGTCTTCGGATCATTGTTTTACTAATGCACAAAACAGGAAAAATGATTCTTAGTATCAAGGCTTGAAGATGATATATACACAATGTCTGAACCATGACAGGTGCAAATATACACTTAATAAATGTGATGGACATCTCAGCTACTCTGATTTGGTTATATGAGTGTATCAGATGGCCACAAGTACTGTGAAAATATGTACAGCTATTATGAATCCATAAAATGCATGAACTAAAATTTCAAATAAATAAATGGAAGCCACTGCTGTGGAAGATAAACAGTGTATGCAATTTTTGTTTTTTTTTTTTAAAGAGACAGGGTCATGCTATGTTGTCCAGGCTGGAGTGCAGTGGCTATTCACAGACGTGATCATAGAGCACTGCAGCCTGGAACTCTGGGGTGCGAGTGATCTTCCTGCCTCAGCCTCCCAAGTTACTGGGACTACAGGCATATGCCACTACATCTGGCAGGTGTATGCAACTTTGAAGCTGTCTTAAGTTTCAGTTAAGAGATATCTCAAAGCATAGGCCACTGAGGAGGGACTGATACAGAGGGGCTGACATACAGGCAGGGCTTGAGTTTCTGAGGATGTAGAAGGTGAAGGGTCAGGTTTTGAGGAATCCTATAGGATAATGGAAACATGGACAACTGGCAGGGAGAGGGGGTGCCTTGGGGGTCAACCCAAGTGGCTGCTTTCATCCAGTGACTATAAGGTTTTATTTAAAGCCAATTCTTATTTCCTTTTCCAAAGTTGGACAAATAGCAATTGTGGGCATTAAAACCATTCCAGAGCAAGCAAGACAGCACCACTGGCCCAGAATACCAATGGGTATAGCTACTAAAGGCATCAGTCACCCTTGACTTTGTTCTTGGCCACCTGAAAAACATTTATGCACCTTCAAAAAGTCATAATGGAAGGCCATTTACTGTTACTTTGAATGATTCTCCTAAAAGGACCTAATGAGATTCAGCACCCAGAAAAATTTGTTTTCAGATCTGGATTTTCGTTTTAATCAACTAATGAAAGTTTCATTTTTCTTTCTGATTTGGCTTCCAGGAAGCTGAGCACTTAATCCTCAATTCCTTTCTCTGCCTTTGCGATATTTACTTTCTGATCTCGTAGGACAACTATTCTGCTATGTATATATTTACTGAAATTTTTTAAGATGGCAGTATATAATTTATAAATACCAGACACTAAGAAGTACTGAAGAAATAAAAACTCAAACTAAACAGGATTATAGGAAATTCCCAATAAGCAGAAGCACAGTGAAGAGACACCGTTGACTTGCTTCCTTCTCAGAGGGGATTGGAGGGCTTCATGTGCCCAGGTGGGGTGCTGTGCTTGTTTCAGCCAGGTTTTCCACCTACTTACAAAGCCCTGAGTCTGAAGCTCATGTAGCCAGAGCTCGGCCAAGTGAGGGTCCCCCTGACAGGCATGTGGGGGCTTCATCTCTCGTGAATCCCATCACTCTCCAGCCAGGGCTGTGCAATGCTCTTGTCCCTGGAAGGGTGAGGATGCAGGGGGAGAAGAGGCGTCTTCAGGGATGTGGTGAGGTCCAGGGGAACAGAAAGGTTGGCAAAGGGACCAAGGACCATTCAGGCCCTTTTTCCATCCCATGCTGGGAAATGCACAGAGAGCAGGCTCTCTGCCTGGCCAAGAGTAACCCAGTCTCTTGGGGCAGGGCTGGCATTATGGCAGGCAGGCCAGCGTGGGCTTTTCAGGAGCAGATGGACGAAGCCCCTGTGGGCTGGGCCTGGAGGTCTTCACTCCTTACCACCTCCCTTTAGGGCCAGCGTGTCTCCCTCCCACCCTTGGTCCAAACACCACAGGAGATGTCAGAGTGAGAGGCCCCCTAGTGGGAAAGGCTGTGGCTCCCCACTAAGGACCCGCAGCCTTCCAGCTACACTGACCCAGCAGGGGCTACAGTGGGCCCAGGAGCCCTCTGCCTGACCCTGTGGCTTGGATGGGTGCTTGCAGACGTCTGAGGCCAGTTGATGCTGGTCATGTGACACTAACTTTTTAAAGCTTACTGAGAGCCTGCTGTGAGCAGGTGCTGAGCTAGTCGCCTGGGTAAAGAGTAACTGGATTCTCACACATGTCTGCTTCCAGACCACCTTGGGAAGAAAGTGACTTCTTTGAGATAACAAAAATCCAAACTAGTAGAACCTAGATTCTTTGGTAGCAAAGCAGGGATTCCCTTCACATAAAGTCCCAGGGCCCAGGGGCTCCATCTCGCAGCATGAAGCCAAGAACCAGGAGGAAAGTTCCTTAAAGTGAACGTAATGTTTGACCTTCGGTTTGAATGGGAAAGAGGTTGGGAGCAGAAAAGAGACAACTAACCCAAAGGTCTGAAACCCATTTAGGAAAAGGTTCTTCTACATTTTGGGGGATAAGTGAGGAAGAAAAAGAAAAAAAAATTAACGAATTTAAAGAAAAATATTGACATGTAGCTCACATGACAAAAATGATGTGGATGAAAATGTACCAAAATGCTCTGTGATGGTGGCTGTATCATGAGTGATTTTTAAAAATATTGTGCAACTTCCAAAACTTTTTTTGGGTGATTTAGTTTTACTACTTTCTAATAAAATTATAATTAAAAGTATGAAAACATCAAAAGAAGGATAAATAGAAGCTAACAAAAAAATAACTACTAACACGAGGGAAAATTCAGTGGAGATTAAAGTAGGTTTTTGGTCTCGTGTTTGAAGAACAGGCCAACCTGACGAAGCTGGCGGGTCGCAGGACAGACAGGATTTGGTCTCTGCTTTGTGAGATCTAGAGCCTGGACTTCTAACTGCTGCCTCCCAGCAGGCATTGGCCATGCCTTCCTGTTTTCCTGGCCCAGGAGGGTGTCCCTCCAAAGCCACACCCCACTTCCCTGTGCCATGGCTCTCATGAGCCACGCCACAGAACAATCGGAACCAGCTGTGAACTTGGGGCACAGGGACCCTCTGGTTCATCTTTGTCCCCCTGCAGTACTGTACTTGGCTGAAAGGAGCTGTTCAAAGACTTTGCTGACCCGAGCAGCTCCTGGAAGTTCTGGACTGGCCATTTTTGGTGTGGTTTACTCACAGGCACAGAGCAGTTGGCTTGCAGTCTTGTGTTCCCGGGGAGGGGCCCTGCCTGCTGGGCACCACTTGCTACATGTAGAAGCAGCAGCACTTTCTTCAGATCTCCTATCAAACCTCCCTTAGGAAACGGAACCCTGAACACACCAGACTAAATAAGCTAAGTGAGAAAGGAAGGCCAAGAGGGAAAGCTGTTCCAAACTGAGGGTAGAAAACATTGCTGAAAACTCCTCATTTCCTTCCTCCACCTCAAAGATCTGCCTGTAATCATAGTTTGCTTCTTCTTTCCTACAAGAAAATTACTCTTCCTCTCAGGGCTGAAAAGGCAATGATGTCACTTATACCTGCCGCAGGAATATCAAACCCAGACAATGCTCTGAGAAATGATTTTCTAGGGTGACTTTCAAGCACTCTGGGTAGCCGGCACAGATAAAATGGCCCTGTGCAGGCAATGCAGTTGGCTGAAATAGCGATTTCCTTCAAAGTCTCGGCCTAGGGGCAAGCCCACTGTTGGCACATAAGTATCACTTCCCCAGGTCCGGGGACCCTCTGCGCTAGCCCGGTGCCCCATAGGTTGCTGTTCGGAGGTGTCTTCCTGCCCCCACATGTGGATCTCCTGCCCCTCAGGTCACTGCACCCCTGCCCAGAAAATACCAGAGCCCAGGCAGGGGTAATAAGGCAAGCTACTGCTTACTGAGTAGCTGCTGTGTATCAGACATCAGGTGCTAATGGGATAAAATCAGTTTGAGGGAGGTTTGTTCACTCTCCAGATACCTCGTGAGACTTGTATTCTTGATGGTCTTACTGAGCCTGTTATTAATTAAAACTACAAATATTTCAAAAAGTGGCCGTGTCTTAGGTGGCGGTAATCAAACCCGAAGCAGCAGCTGGGCTATCCTGCCCCGGAGTATGCTGTGCCTGGCAAATGTCTAGGAGGGCGCTACTGGCCAGTTTCTGGAGCTGGTCAGAGAGACAGAACTTCAGCCTCAGCCCACATCTGCTGGACCAGACCCTCTGGAGGTGGAGGCCAAAAGTCTGTCTGACAAGCCTTCCAGGCTTTTATGCCTTCTAAAGTTGGAGATGATGCCAGCACTGGAAATGCCAGGTCTCTACTGGGTCCATGAGTCGGCTGTGCCTCCATCCACTCCAGTCCTACCACTTACCATCTGTAGTACTGGAAAGTAGGCAGTTTCCTGACCTAAGTATCAGTGTGTACATCTGCAAAATGGAGATAAGAATGGTCTCCGGCTGGTAGAAATGCTGAGGGTTAAGTAAGATATTAGATCACACTTAGCCCAAAGTGTGGAACCTATTAAGCGTGCAATTAACATTAGTTATCACATTATTATCTCTAGGGTAAAGGCCTTCCTGCATGAGCTCATTCCCAGGCAAGACCAGTTGGGGATAGTCTGTCACCACTTCTGGCAGCAAGAAGCAGAGGTGTCATGCCAGGAGCGGGGACCGTGGCAGTGTGTGTCTCTGGCCTTCCCAGGGACACTGGCTGAGCCCTCCCCTGGGAGAAGGGGGGCTCTCTCACAGCTACATGGCTGGCCTGGGGACGGAGGACTCCATCAGCACAGCCACCATTTTTTGTGTGTGGAAGGGAAGCTGGCCCACAGGCCTCAGGCTTGGCATGAGGGGCAGGGACAGGGCCCAGGATGGCTACCTCATAGCTTGCGTTACTCTCTGTCCCTGCTTTCAGTGGCTGGAGGTTCTTGCTCACAGCCAGCCAGCAGACACCATGGCCCCAGGAGCCCTCCTCCCAGACACCTCCTTACACAGCTTCCTCCTGTGTCCTATTGTGGGGTCCTCCTCACTCTGCACACACCCAGGACCGCCTCTGAACCACCCCCTCTGCTGAGGCTCTCCGCTGCTCCCTCAGCCTCCTGCACACACCCCCACCAGCCCAAGGTCGCCATCCTCACCACCTTTCCTCCCTTTCCTTCTTTTATTCATTCCACAAACACTGGGTGTCTAACGCGTGCCAGACACTGTTAGAGGCGCTAGGGTGACAGCAGTGGGCAAACAAGACCAAGTCCCTGCCCTCAAGCTGCTTGTCCCTGGTGGGGAGGTGGCCAAGCCTGTGATGTGGGCAGCTGCCATGCACTGGCAGCTGACAGTGCTACGGGGAGGAACACAGCGAGGTGAGCGGGACGGGCTGGGGCATCTGTGCCTGAGAACGAGAGAGGGGCAACTGCCTTTCACAGCGGGAAGACCGACCATTCTTCCCACAGACCTCAGTGAGCCTCCGGGGAGGAGAGACCTGCGGGGGCGAGGCAGCCAGTGTGTGTTTATCTGGGGAGGGGATCAGGCGGTGGGCGCAGGGGAGGCGAGCATGGGAGGTAACCTGCGTTCTGAAGGACCCCAAGTGACACAGGGTCACGGGGAGATGAAAGGAGAGGCAGGAAGTCAGGGGGAGGCGAAGGCAGGAGGCCCTGGGAGGGACTGGGCTTTACTCTGTGGATGCGCAGCCGCTGGAGGGGTCTGAGCAGGAGTCACATGATCTGATTTGCATTGTGAAAGGATCCCTCGGCCTTCCAGTGGAGAAGTGGCTGTGGGAGCCCAGGGCAGAAACAAGAGGAAATGCCAGTGGCATTTAGAGAGGGAGGCAGCAGAAGTGGAGGAAGTGGCCGGGTTCTGCAAGCGTCCTGAGGTAGAGCAAGTGGTTTCCTGAGAAAGGACTCAGGGATGACTCCGCTGGTTTGGGCTTTGGAACTGGAGCATGGTTTGCCTGTTCCTGAGTTAGTTTCTTACCAGACGTCTCTGGCCCAGGGAATATGTAGCTCGGAACCCTGACGGCTGCCCCGGCCCCATCCTGCCCAGGCCATTGTGCCTTCTGCTCCCTGGGGCTCCCCAGTCTCCCCGGAACAACATCTGCCCCAGCTCTGCTCAGGCATAGGTTCTTCTGAGCAGCCTCTCGTGGCATCTTCCTACCCTGGCCATGCGAACCCATCTACCCTCTGTGTGGTAACAGCTGCCATTCCCGGGTCATGGGTGCTGACCCAGGGCACGCCAGAGGCATTCTTCCCACAGGCCTCAGTGACCCTGCTAGGGAAGAATTACCATCCTGCGCTTTCAGATTTGGAAATGAAGGTTCCCACCACAGTGGAACATGCCCCTAGCCACTCCACAGGAGTACAGGAGTTGAGACTCTGAAGCCCATGCCACGTGCTGCCCTAGATGAGTTTTGAAGCCACAGCACTGGAATGCTTTGCTAGCTTTCTTGGTTTGCATGTCTGCTATCTCCATTGCTCTGAAAGGTGAAGCCTGGCATAAGGGGCTGCCCAATAACCCAGACATTAGAGTCTAAAGAGGGTTCGGGGACCCATGAGAGATCCCAGACGGCCCTCACTCCTCTATCCCCAGCTCACACTCATTCATTTTTTGATAATATAATAACTGAGACAGATAAGATACAAGTAAACATATATACAAGATAGTTGTTATGGGTTGAACTGTGTCCCCTCAAAATTCATATGTTGAAGTCCCATCTCCTAGTAACGTCAGAATATGACCTTATTTGGAAATAATGAGTTGTTGGAGATGGAATGAACTTAATTTGGATGAGGTCATGCTGGAGAAAGGTGAGCTCCTAATCCAATAGAACTGGTGTCCTTACATAAAGGGAGAATTTGGAGATGACACACACAGGGAGAATGCCGTGTGAACGTGAAAACAGAGACCAAGCTGGTGCTTCCACACACCAGCGAAGGCCAAGAAGGCCAGTGCAACAGCAGGCGGGGGAGAGGCATGGAACAGATTCTTTCTCACAGCCTTTGGAGGAACCAACCCTGCTGATGCCTTGATTTTGGACTTCTAGCCTCCAGAACTCTGAAACAATACATTTATGTTGTTTAAGCCACCCAGTTTGTGGTACTATGTTAAAACCAAGAGAGTAACTTAGAAAAGTGATTAAGTGTGTGAGAAGAAAAACCAAACAGAGTGCTGAGGGTTGGGGAAAGGGAACTACTCTAGGTGAGGGAGGCAGAGAAGACCCCTCTGAAACTTGGACAATGGGAAGGAAATCATGGAGGAGATCATTCCAGGGAGAGAGAACAGCAGGTTTAAAGGTCCTGAGGCAGAAATGAGTTTGCTGCATCTGAGGAGAGTGAGCAAGAAGGAAGGGAAATGAGAGATAAATAAAGCCAGAGAGGTAAGCGGCGACCAGCTGTTGGAAAGCCATAGGCCTTGGTGAAGATCTGAAGGGATTGCAAGGGCCATGGGAAGCCCTTGGAAACTCTGAATCTTGAAAGAGACATGATCTGATGCATCTTTTATGATGACGCACATAAGCACATGCACACAAATGGTCTAGATCTGGAGTGTGCAGGGTGAAGACAAAACAAGGCCCATCTCAGGGTCAGCTCCAGTTTTTCCATCCACTGTCACTTTCGGCACCTCCTAGTGCAGAAAATCATGTGCTCCACCCCACAAAGAGCAGGCTTTTCTCTGCTTCCCTGAAAAACAAGTTTCTGCCTTGTGCAGTCTTGCTGGGAATGTAAAATGACACAGCTGCTATGGAAAACAGTGTCGTGGTTCCTTTCCTCAAAAAATTACACACAATTACTGTATAATCCAGCAATTCCACTTCTGGGTATACACACAAAAGAACTGAAAGCAGAGTCTTGAAGAGGTATTTATACACCCACATTCATAGCAGTGTTATTCACAATAGCCAAAAGATGGAGGCAACTCAGGTGTCCATCCTGAATGGACATGCAAAATCTATCATATTCCTGCAGTGGAATATTATTCAGCTTTAAAGGGAAGGGAGTTCTGATACATTCTACAACATGGATGAACCTTGAGGACATTATGCCAAGTGAAATAAGCCAATAACAGAAAGACAAATACTATACGATCCCACTTATATGAGGTACTTACGGCAGTCAGACTCACAGAAACAGATAGCAGAATGGAGGTTGCCAGGGCCTCGGGGAGGAGGGATGGGAAGTGGTCAGCAGGTACAGACTTTCAGTTTGGCAGGATGAAAAAGTTATAGAGATGGATGGTGGTGATGGTCGCGCAAGAATGTGAATGTATAAAGCCACTGAACTGTATGCTTAAAATGGCCAAAATGGTAAATTTTATGTGTATTTTACCACAATTAACAATTAAAAAATAATTCTCTAGAGCCCACATCAGTCCCTCATCACATCCTCAGTGGCATCTGTCTCTCTGTCCTCACAAAACCAGTGTCCCCAGTATTCCAGAAATGATGGCCCAGTCAATCTCCTTGTTGCATGAAGAAGATAAGCAATAGCAGCTGGTGTGGATGAGATCTGAAAAGCTCTCTGGTGACGACAATCCCAGGCCTCTGCCTGGCAACTCATTTCAACTGGTAATAATTCTCTATGTCAGGTTTTCCTGCCTTTTAAGTCTTATTAAAAACCTTTAGCTGAAGCTCTTTTCTCTTTCTACCTTCTAAGGACCCAAGGGATAGTGGTGAGCATCTTCTACAGAAGAACTTTTCCATAGACTTGGAGACCATTGTTAAATTATCTTGCCACTCTGAAGACACGGAACTACCTGCTCTCACCATTTTCCAGCCCAAAAGTACAGCCACAATCCCACTGTAGAATTGAGCTTTGGGTCCTCGGACTGTGCTTCTGTCTGTGTATTTTAGGGGGCCCCAAGTCACTTCTTAAGGAGAACTCTGGCCCTGCTCACAGCACTCCTGTAGCAGGCCTCCAAAAGAGGCAGGTGGCCTTCCATTCAGGCCTGTGTTCCTACCAGGCTGCTTGGAGCTCCCTGAGAAAGGAATAGTGCACAACCCTGCATGGCCGAGTTGCAGGACACATGAGCCTATCCTTTACCCATCACATAGAGAACAGGCTCCAGGAACCTGGCTGGGAATAAAAAAGGCAAACTCACGGACACTAGCTACTGAAAGCCTGGCTGAGAGAAACAAATGGTGGGAGAGTATCTGAAGGTGCATTCTTCCCTCTGAGATTAAGCAAAGCCACCAGGAGGTGTGAGTGGGGGCTACTCTGCTTGCCCAGCCTCCCCCTGTACAGCAGCTTTTCTGAACTACATCTGGCTGGGCATACCTGGCCTCACTGCAGGCATCAGGTAAGAAAGCCTTGTGAGTCCCCTGCTGTGTTATTTGAGAGGTATGGCTGAGCACAGGCTGTTGCCACCACTGAGCATGTGAGATGCTGGGGGATCTCTGCTTCCAGGATTCTGAACTGGGACTACTTGTGCATCTAAAGCATGGTTGATTTTTCCTTCGTGAACTCTGAATCATATCATTGATGATTTTCCATTTTGCTTTTGCTGCTACAAGAACTCAAAGTCAACTTTGGGGCTTATTTCTGGAACAGTGCTGGCTGATAGAACTTTCTGCGATAAGGAAAATTTTGCAACAGTGCTATCCAGTACAGTAGCCACTAGCCACATGTGTCTAGTGCCAATGAGGAATGAAATTTAAATTTAAATTTTAATGGTGACATTAACTATGTAGTAGTGGCTATCATTGAACAGTATGGCTCTAGAAAGTATATAGGAAATGACATGCATTTTGAATGTCACACTCGGTTTATCTAATTTTTCTATCAGTATTTGCCTTCTACTTGAAATCCCTTTGTATCTAATTGTTATCACTAATCTTCTTTCATGGTATATATATATCTTTGCCAGCCATCTTAAACATAGTTTTTAAAATGTGAGATCCACTTATAAATATTAAAAAAAGGATAACAGAGCCATATGCCCAATTTTTTGGACTAGAAATTTCTTCTCCCTCCCCCTTTCATGTAATATAGAGTAGTTAAGATGTTCATTTAAGTGGAGGGAGTCCCAGGGTGGCGGAGGAAAATCTTTTCTTTGGTTTCTGTCTCTGTTCTTTTTTTTCATCTGTGCTGCTTATACAAACGTTAAATTTGTGAAAATTTACTGAGCTGTATATTTACAATGCGAACTTTTTGGTATATACATAATTAATAATATTCTTCAATGGAAAGTAAACAAAAACATATAAGGAGAACCTACTGTGTTCAAAGTGGAATGTCGGTTTAGTTCTATGGGGGGTCCGGAAAGATTCATAAAGCAGTCCTTGACTCCACAAAGCCATAGTTTAGTATCATCAGGCATCAGTGCAAATTTCTACAAAATTCTTCCAGGGGGCACCAGGAAGAACTGGGAGCATGTTTGCTGACAGTGAAGTGAAAATAACCAATGGGAAGACTCTTTCATGCCCCCCTATGCATTTTCCAGAGGAATCTTCAGCCATACCTGATGCTAGTAACTCCCCATCTACCTCCCTGCCCTCCCACTATGAATCAGGCAATGCCAAGAATGAGGGGAAGATACGTTTCAGGAGGAGGACAGCTTTCTTTGCATTTTATCTGATCTCAGTAAAAAAAAAAATTTCCAAATTCTTACAAGGGGCTGAGTTGATCACAGAAAAGAAAAAAATCTCAACTTTTCTTCTCTGGAGGAATTAAAATGGGAGGAGGAAGTCCCCGAAATATGGAACATTAAGTCAGTGGTGTAGGATGAGGAAATAAATGCAATCTTTCTGAACAAAAAACTATATTTTAAGAAAGCAACTAAAAACTACCCAATCGAGATTTTCTTCAATACATAGCTCCATTCAACTAAACAAAAAAATGTATCTTAAACATTACAGTTCAAAATGGCACTCAGGGAAGATACATTGCTAAAGAGAATGTGGATAGAAAGGTTCACTCTCAACTGCTCCTCCCGCCAAGACCTAACTACCTTAATTTTGCTGAAGACTGAAATATAAATTTTTACTTTGGAAAGTAACTGACAGAGATGGGCAGGTGTGGATCTCATGCTAGCTATCTGCACTGATGCAGATGAACAGGAACCTGCCTGACATTACCAAGAATCTTGGGGGAGGAGGTTATGTGTCCTTTCTGCCCACATTAATTTAATTCCTCAACATATTACTATTTGAACAAGGGCCTGCATTCTGGAGTCACAAGATACAAATCTTTTTTCTACTCTTTCATACTCTATTGCTCTAACTTCAAAAGCCTGCACCTATATGGATTTTATAGCCATTTAAATGTGTGGATCTTCTTTGAAATATTCTTTCCATGGTTCCTTTGAGTAGAGTCCAGGCCAAGCTTTCATACTGCATTCTCTTATTTATCTTATTAGAAGGATCAGGAGAAAAAAGTGCTCTAATTACTGCAAAAAGGAAGAAGTCACTTCAGAAACAGTCACGTTCTTTTTGGTCTTTTAGTATAAACAATATCCTTTGCATTTCATTAACTTTTACTTGGTGCGACTGTATTATATTTTGCATAAAGATTTGGCATTCTTCAAACACAGAAGACAATTTTTCTCACATTTCGAAAGGGATTATAGAGTAAATGCTAGCATATTGAATAATAAAACATTACTTAGTTCCTTATCTGCATAGTTCAAAAGACTGAAAATTATCTAGTTCCTATAAATAGTAAGTATCTCAAGGTGACCTTTCTGATGAGACATGAGGTCTGGCTGTAGTCTGAACCAGTTGTCTGACATGTGCCAAATTCTGACTTCATTTCATGATATGTGGATTACAGTTCTGGTGCTTAAAGCCAAAACCAACAAAAACGATGAAACTTTACCTGCGATTCAAGTAACCACAATCCCTGCCTCGTAAGGCAATGTCCCCCAATTCACTATCAACTTTCCCTTTTCGGGTAGCCAAGTGTGAAAATTGAGACATCAGAGGTAGAGGCTTTTCAGAAAAATAAAGCCCTATTCTCCTGGAACTAATTTGCTTGTTAAATCAAGAAAGCCTGGGTCTGGAAAGCATTTATCAGGTAGGACCAGATGTAGGATGTTCTGTAATATACATGCTGAATTTTGAATTGAGTATAACTAATTATCTCTAATGAGTCAACCACTGGAAGGATGAGAGGAGAAAGGGGGCTGGTAATGAAGCTAAAGAGTTCACCGCAGAAGGACTAGGGCAGCCTACTTAAAATGAATTCGCTCACCCCTTCCAAGCTTAGTGAAACCAGAAGCTCCCAACGCATCGCTTTCTCCTTAAAATGTTTAACGGAACATCCTTTTCCAAGTGATCACAGGATTTCAACAACCTGCTGCCCAGCAGTAGAAGGGTGCAACAGTAGAAGATGGAGGAGGCACCCGAAGGAAGAGAACAGCTATCTCCTCTATGAACATCAATATATATTTTAAAAATTCCAGATAGATGGGCTTTCCTGAAGTTCCTTTGTGGAAGGGAAGAATCCAGTGGTAAAACTTCTAAGTACATGGGCATAGATTCAGGAATCTTTAATCGCAAACTCCCCAGCTAGCTCATTTGAAATCCCCAGGAGTCATGGGTGTTCAGGGGATGCCCAATAGGGGAGGACAGAATGGGAACCTGGAAGAACTGGGAACATGTTTGCTGACACTGAAATGAAAAGAACCAATGGGAAGAGTCTTTCATGCCCTTTTGTTGGGATCCAGTATGGCCACTTTGACTTCGACTAGGAGCTGGGCAGAGGGTCACTGATCTCTCCTTCCTTGACCATTGCTCTGTGACTGGTACTATAGGGTTTGAGGCAGAGCTAACTGTTTCTTGGGTCCCCTAAACAGACAGACAGGTGTCCCCCCAGTACCTGTAGGAGGATCTTGTTCCCATCGTGGTCCTCTGTCTGCCAGCGCCCCTCGCTGATGGGGCTGCAAGGGTTGGGCAGGAGAGGCACGAGCTCGCCGATGTCCCTCACTCGGAACTCCAGCACGGACGAGTCGGTGGGCACCGGGCTCTGGTCACAGGGCAGTCTTTTCAGGGAGAACTGGATGTCCACATCCAGATTGGAGAAAATAGGGAAGATGCAGAAGTCCGCTTTCTTCTGGCTGGGGCTCCTCCGGAGAATCAGCTCGTAGAACCTGAGGCTGTCGGCGTAGTTGTCGTGGCGACAGTAGACAGTGAAGCGCACGATTTCCTTGCCGTAGTGCACTGGCCGGATGGCCCACAGCGGCGTCCCAGGGGCCAGTGTGAAGAAGTCCTGGCTGCAGGGCAGGTAGGGCAGGAACCGGCCGTGCACACGCTCGGTATGGTGGTGGCGCCAGGGCGGCTGCTGCAGTGTGCGGTGCAGCTGCAGGATCTGCTCTTCACCGTACTCCTCCTGCAGGAACAGCACCACCGCCAGCGCCGGCTGAGCGCCCTTGGGGGGCTTCCGCCGCCGCCTGCATGCCCGCCTCTCGGACACCCTGAACAGCGGGAGGTTCGGGTGGATCCACGCCAGGACCTTGTCGATGGCCTCCTGCAGGGGCTGGGACTCCCCTGGGTCTGCGATTATGTGGATGCTGACCAGGAAAGGGTCCTGCGCCTCTTCAACGGAAAGCTCACCTAGGGGCACGCAAAAAACGAATGGATGAATGAATACAATTATGATTATTTCATTAAAGTGTCCAGTGATGACGTGTACAGGCTTGGCAGGAAGAGAAGTCAAATTCTAACTGAACTGACTCCATAACCTGTGATGTTCTGATCCCAAGTTTACCTACAAAAACTACTATGTCAGCACCCTAGCAGCCAAAGATGAAAGGGGTGTTGCTACGTGAATAGTTTCCAAGCTGGACAGGGTGAGGAGAACCTTGGTCCTGTATTTCATCAGGTTGATCGGTATAGGGAACATTTGACTTTATATTTATGTATCAGACAAATGGAAAGTCAAGTCTGGTGTCTTAGAAGGAACAACAGGCCCATTAGAAAAGATGCCATAGCATCTTGTGTACACCATTTAGTATTTCCTGAAATAACTGCAGGGCCTTGCCCCGTACATGTTCCCTACACAAATGCACTCCTCTGGTTTGCTTATTTCATTTGTTTATTTTGTTAACACACACTCACAAGCTCCTTCCTACCTGCCTCACTGGGAGTGAGGCACAAGGCAAACGATGGAGGACAAGAGAGACCTGTGCTTGCCCCCTGGGGCTTACTCTACAGACAGGTCATGCCCTGGCTGGTGACGAGTCCTGCCCACAGTGTCCCCTGTTGTGCACAGTGTCATGTTGCTGCTGGAAACACAGGGAAGGATGACCCTTGGAGCCAAGCGCAGTGTTTGCTTGCTGTTGGAGCTTACTGGGGCGGAGGTTAGGGTGGAAGGAAAGCAGGGTGAGACCATGATTGCCCATGAAATGACACCTTTTGTGCCCCTTGCTGGGCCACGTCCACCCAGAAGCCCACACATCTTGAATGGGTCGGTTACCCTCCCTGTGATCTCTGGCAAAACACCTGAAAGTATTGAATTCCAAGCATGAAGTTGACTGTTTAACTTGGCAACACTTTCCCATGGGGTGACAGTTTTTTTGGCCAGACTTGGCATATTTCTAAATCATATATCTGATAAAAGGCTTGCTCTTTTAAAAGATGGTTCTATTTGCATTTATATAAGTTTTCGGTCTCATTTAAGGGAATTGAGACATCTTTAGGCCAATTGTGATTTAGGGGGCTAGATTCACCCAGAATCTAGATCTGCCTTTACAACACACATGCCTCACAGTATCCACTAGGGGTGTCAGGCATAGAGTGATCATGTGGTCAATTGTGTTCTACCAATGTGGTGTGCTTTTCAGAATCATAACCTTGATCAAGTCACAGGATGAAAATTTTTTTGTGGTAGGTAGACATTCCAAGTGGGCTTACAAGTTCATTTCACTATGTGCAGCTGCAATAACATGGTTTTAATTTAATCGGATCAAAACCTGTCTGAATTTTCATCCCAACTCTATTAAGTGTCTCACTTGAAAACAGTCCAGCTTGTGGTCTTCTCTCTCATTCATGCATTCATTTGCACATCTGTTAAGCAATCAGTTTGTACCAGGCACTGGGGACACAAAGAAGCTGGCACTAATTATGTATGCCCAGGCACTATCAGGTACATTTACACATACTCTGGCATGATATGCTCCCTGAGAATTGTGCAGTGCACAACCTGCACAACCATAGGCGGCAGCCCTCTGAAGACCCACAAGCCCATAAGATGAGAACTTTGTGATTGAGTTGGGAAACACAAACATCAAAAATTAAAATTAAATCTGATAAATTAAAATTAAATCAGATATATGCCTAAAAGGAATACAATGGAATAGTAACTTGGGGTGGGGGCTAGATTCTAAAGTCACTGTGAAGAAAAGGTTATCTATAGACACTATTAACACTGAAAGTCTCCCAAATTTCCAATAAAGCACTAACTTGTAACAAGACAAGATGGCCAGACAGATGTTTCTTTAGTTGAACACCACATAAAATGACCATTTTGCTGCAGGGTCATGTACAAGAGAATAGTCTGTTTCTTTAAACACTAAACCCTTACTCATCAAACCCTGCCCTTCACTCTACAAGAGGCTTCTGGCAACCTGAGAGGCTCCTGGAACTTAAGGATGACTCAGGTAAGAGCAGAGTCAAGTTTCAACTCTCCACAATCATGGAGTAGAATGGCAAGTGGAATCCTTTCAATTGTCTTCCCTCTCTTTCCTTCCTGCTGGCTGGGCATGTTTTCCCAAATTTGTATGAGTTAAATATGAGCATAAAGCAATTCCAACTTACTAGACTTGACAAAGGAAGGAGGGCTCTACAGAAGAAGGCTTCCTCGAAGAGGTACCATATGAACTGGGTCTTGAAGGGTAAAGGCAGAGAGCACATCCTCTTGCTCATGATGCCTTTAGATGCTGAGGAGATTCGGAAGTGTTTATGAAGGTATAGAACTGTGCAAAAAACAAGCACATTTGGAAGGGGGCCATGGGTAATTCTGAGACACGGCAACAGATGCAGCTGGAAAAATGGATTAGAACCAAGCTGTATGGGGCCTCAGCTCAATTCAGTAGTTGATAAGGGGCAAAGGAAGGTTTAATGAAGGGGTATTGGGATCAAGTTGGGGGAAAGTTGGCTATAGGCAAAATAAGGAGTTAGAAGACTAGTGAGGAGTCCAGACAAGAGATGACAAGGACTTGGCAGTATAGGAGATTACATTAGTGGCCTCAGTTCCTTATCCTACTGTGTACCCTTACTTTCTGCCATGTGACTGTGTAGTTCCTCCCACTAAATGGGTGGTATATTTCCCCACCCTTTGATTTAGGATGAGACCATATGCCTAGCTTTGGCCAGGAGACAAAGACAGCAGTGGCATGTGTTTTGGCTTGCCTCCCTGTGCTCCCAACATTTCCATGAGAAGAACATGCTTGGGTAAGCCCACCGGTCCTGGTAAGGGGATGAGACACATGGAACAGACGCACTCTAGCTGAGCCCGCCCTAGATCAGCCAACCTTCACACCCAAAGACACAGGGCAAGAGCCACTCAGGTGAGCATGGTCTAGATCAGCTGACCCAAGACAAATGGGAAATAATAATGACTGTTGTTTCAAGCCACTGAGACTGGAGGTGGCTGTTACCCAGCAGTACTTACAGATCCAGGACAGACAGTCAAGTGGGTGAATAGAAGAGGCATGGATTCACAGGTTATAAGGATGCAAATGGCAGGCCAGGGAGTCCACAGGCCTGGTGAGTGGGGTGTAGGAAAAGTTGGAGAGGAGAATACCTTAATGTTTCCAGCTTGAACAAGTGATCTGATGTGGTTTAGCTGAAATAGGAAATAGAGGAAGAAGGGCAGATTTGTGGGAAAAGACAGAAAGTTGCACCTTGGCTACTTGGCTTGAGATATCCAAATGACTTCGAGGAGAGATGTCCTTTGGCAACTGGAATTTTGTGTTGTGTAGGTGAAGGGCTGAATTTAAGGATGGGCCAGTTACTTTCAGATCATATTCTCATTTTTATGCAGTTATCTGATAAGTGTGTGCCCCCATATAGATTTGAATCATGAAAACTCATCATGATGGCTAGGAAAACAATCAGAATTCAGAGACGATTCTGGCCCTTTTCTTTGCTTGCCCTTTCTGCCTGCCTGGTTTATTTCCGTTTGGTTGAACATTCATGACGCTATCGGCAGAAGTACAGTTGACGCAAAAGTAGTAACGCTGCAATGAGATTTCCTGCCAGTCACTAACTCCAGTAAAATTAGGAGAAAACACCACTTCATCTAAATGGATTTCACTTTTCTCTGTGGCCTTGAACTCCCAACAGTGGAGACATGCGACTTTGCTAAACATCAGTGAATGCTCCATGTAAATGGAAAAGGACAGAAAGGCTTTGAACAATCTGGGGATCAAGAATTTTACCTGAAAAAATTACAGATGATTTCAATGACGGGGGGAAAACACCATGCAAAGTAAAGGAACATCTGGGAAAAGAAGCTGCCAGGGCCACCAGGCAGTCCCTTCAAGGTCCTGATCCCACCCCCAGGTGTGCATGTGGCCAGGTACACAGAGTGACATGTTAGCTAACATGGGTGCTTTCTCCATGTTCTACATGTATGAACTCGTTTAATCCTTACAACCACTATAGAAAGGGGAGGTGCTATGATTGTCCCCATTTTAGAGAACAGGAAATGGAGGCACAGGAGGTGAAGTAGTCTGCCAAGGTCACACAGAGTAGGAGCACTAACTCCAGCTTCCGAGTTCCGTGTACACCATCAGCCCAGGCTCTGCAGAGAAGTGTGCTCGCCTCTCCACTGTATCCGTTTCACAGCAGAGTGGCCAGCTGCCATTCTCCATCCATGTGTGGCCACAGTGGCTCCCGTCTGGCCCCTCTGCATGGCTCTCCCACCTCATTCTCACTGGCTTCATTCCCGGCCACCAGCCAACAGCTCCATTTCTTGGACACCCACTTACGTTGCTTTCCTCTGGCCCCAGGACTTGGAGGAAGAATAAGCTAGAAACTGCCCTCCCTGTTGGCACATGCCCAGGTCTTCACATCTCAGCAGTGCCCTCAAGGGCAACTCAAACAGGCCAGCACCACAGGTGGGTGCACAAGTGAAAGGAATGCACAACAGTGACTCAAGAAAGCCTAAAGCATGGCGTGAGCGGCTTGGGTGTGAAGAGGCCCAGGAGAAGGTGGCTTCTGAGACTCCCCAGTGGAGTTGTCAGGGCGCTCAGCCCTGTGCCATCTCTATCAGTTACACAAAGGTTTCCCTGAGAGCAGTAACAAAGACCACGCTGAAGTCTGCATGGATGAGTGAATGTTTACAGCTCTGCAGTAGGGCGAAATGCCCGGCCTCAGAGCAGGGGGGTGAGCTGAAAGGCATTCCACCAAGTACCAGCTCGCCTGGCAGTTTGGGAGGCAGCCAAGAGCGGGCGAGCCAGGATGATGAAGACCCAACCCCCAGAGCCCCCTCTGCACTGCGTGAACCAGGGACATGTAAGTGGCTAAGACTCTGCCCCAGAGGAGCTAAGGAGAATGAGCAGCAGCATTAGCATGCTCCGGCCATCACTAGCATGTACCCGCTGCACGTG